TGTACTTTTATAAGAAATACTTCGTAAAGACCCTTTTTTTTTTTACTAAACAGAGATTGATACATTCTCATCAAGACCTGTAAATCCATTATTTCGTAAAGGCACCACGTTTATTGCAGCTATACCAGCCTTGCTATGTCTCGGGCAAGATAACCTGACAGGGCTCCCCTACCCCTCTCCAAGATAATTTTCCTTATCCTAGTGTGGTTGCCGCCTCAGGACAAGAGCGACCTGTGTGCCCTTCATATTGACCCTCTGCGAGTTGAAGCGCATTATTGTTCAGGCTGCATCTTTGAAATTAAGCATTCTTTCCTTATAGTTACATGAAGTTTTAAACTATATCATTGGATAGAGAGCTAGAGAGAGAAAGTAAAGAGAAAAACAGAGAGAGAAAATGAGAGAGAGGGCGATAGAAATAAAGAGACAATGAAAACATTTCTTTACCGACGCGTTTCGTCCACTGAGTCACTTTATTAGGGTAAATCTAAGGATTACTTTTCAGCATAGATATATATATGTATATATTGTGAAGGAGAGAAAGAAAGATACTAGGTGTGAGGGAGAGAGATGCAGAAATGAGAAATAGATAGAGAGAGAGAGAGAGATAGATTAGAAAGAAATAACAAAAGTAAGAAAATGATAGTGGTGTAGAGATTAGCAGACTGATAGATAGATAGATAGATAGATAGATAGATAGATAGATAGATAGATTAAAAAGAAACAGCAAAAAAGTGATAGTGGTCTAGATATAATCAGACTGATAGATCGATAGATAGATAGATTAAACAGAAATAGCAAACACGTGAGAGTGGTGTAGATATAAGCAGATAGATAGATAGATAGATAGATAGATAGATAGATAGATAGATTAAAAAGAAATAGCAAACATGTGATAGATAGATAGATAGATAGATAGATAGATAGATAGATTAAAAAGAAATAGCAAACATGTGATAGATAGATAGATGAATGAATGAATAGATAGATAGATAGATAGATAGATTAAAAAGAAATAGCAAACATGTGATAGATAGATATAGATAGATAGATAGATAGATAGATTAAAAGTCGTAGAAACATGTGATAGATAGATAGATAGATAGATAGATTAAAAAGAAATAGCAAACATGTGATAGATAGATAGATAGATAGATAGATAGATAGATTAAAAAGAAATAGCAAACATGTGATAGATAGATAGATAGATAGATAGATTAAAAAGAAATAGCAAACATGTGATAGATAGATAGATAGATAGATTAAAAAAAGAAATAGCAAACATGATAGATAGATATAGATAGATAGATAGATAGATTAAAAAAAATAGCAAAATATGTGATAGATAGATAGATAGATAGATAGATTAAAAGAAATAGCAAAACATGTGATAGATAGATGATAGATAGATAGATAGATAGATTAAAAAGAAATAGCAAAACATGATAGATAGATAGATGAATAGATAGATAGATAGATAGATGGATAGATAGAAAGATAGATAGATTAAAAAGAAATATGAAACATGTGATAGATAGATAGATAGATAGATTAAAAAGAAATAGCAAACATGTGATAGATAGATAGATTAAAAAGAAATAGCAAACATGTGATAGATAGATAGATAGATAGATAGATTAAAAAGAAATAGCAAACATGTGATAGATAGATAGATAGATAGATTAAAAAGAAATAGCAAACATGTGATAGATAGATAGATCGATAGATAGATAGATAGATTAAAAAGAAATAGCAAACACGTGATAGTGGTGTAGATATAAGCAGATAGATAGATAGATATGAACAGAAAGAAACAAAAACGAAACAAACAAAATTATAGATAGAGAGGTGACCACAATGACACAGATGGAGATAGATCGAGAGAAAGATAGACAGAAAGAGAAATAAAGAGAAAGCGATAGAGATGTGTATACACTGAATTGCATATTTTGCCAGATATATATGCAAATGTGGATGCGTGTTAATAAAAAAATTGAATCCATAAATAATTTACTTGATATAATTTCCACCACACTCTCGGCCTTGATGGAAGAAAAATAGGAATGCCTCTTCTTAAAATCCCAAAATACATAAAACGTAGTTTCGTCCCTTTCGTAATAGGCGCATAAATGCGCATGCGTGAATCACCACAAAGGCACGTCTCATTTTACATGAATAAATATGAAAAAGAAAGAAAAAAAATTCGATAAATAATAATCACCCTAGCTCACACTTTAAGATTATATGTCGTATCTTTATTGTGTGGACCGTTTTATCGTAGAACGCCATCCAATTTACGATAAACTACATCCGTGTCCTGGGTAAGTCGATAAACCACGTCCGACAGCAAGGCCTCAGGAGGTTTTGAGGAACGTGGAACCACCTCTCAATTGCTGGTGTCCCCAAGTCCACCCTGATCCGGGGTGGTATCATCTGTTAGAGTCCCAACAATAGGCAAATATTTAACCCCTAAATTGGGGACCAAACACTATGAAAGTGTAAAAATAGGTTTTGATACCGGCAATAATGTTTTTGAGTCAAAAATTTTACCAGCAATATATTTTTACCGGCAATACATTTTTGAAGAAAATAAATATTACCAGGAATGCATTTTTGAGGAAACGTATTAGCAGGAATACATTTTTTAAGAAAAACATATTGGCAGCAATAAACTTTGGAAAGAAAAAATCTTACCAGCTGTACATTTTTGAAAAAAAATTCTACCAACAATATATTTTTGAAGAAAATAAATATTGCCAGCAATATATTTTTGAGGAAAAAATATTACCAGCTGTATATTTTCGTAAATAATTTTTTTTTTTAAAGCATTTCACCCTAAGCAAGGCGATAAGCCACTAGTACGCAAGGGGTTACAGAAAATTTAGAGCAAGATCAGATAAGAGTGATAGAAGAAAGGATGAGGAAAAGGGTAGTGGATAGATTAAGGCAACTGGAGATGTCGATTGACATTACACTTGAATAGCTGGAGATTATAGCTCTCAAGGAAACAGGAATATGGAAGGGAGTTCCACAGGCGAGAGGTGCGAGACATGAAGCTATTGGAGTAGAAGAGACGGCTACATTTAGGAGTTTCGACAGTGAAGGGGTGAGAGCGGGATGCCAGCCTCGTGAGGCGCTCGAATTATTACCAGCAATACATTATCAACATCAATACATTTTTTTAAGAAAAACATATTGCCAGTAATAACTTTTAGAAAGAAAAAAATTTACCAGCAATACATTTTGTAAAAAAATATTACCAAATATACATTTTTGAAGAAAAAGAATTAGCAGCAATACATTTTGGAAAAAAATATTACCAGCAATTCATTTTTGAGGAAAAAAGTATTACCAGCTAAACATATTTGACAAACATATTACCATCAATAGAAGTCTTGCCGGCATTAAATAACCCATTGCGGCTGATATGCCGTAAAACAAACCAAACCAAACCAGCAATAAAATTCTTGTCGGCATTAAACAACCCATTGAGGTTGATATGCCGTAAAACAAACCAAACCAAACCAAACCAAACCAGCAATAAAAATCTTGTCGACATTAAATAACCCATTGAGGTTGATATGCCGTAAAACGAACCAAACCAAACCAGCAATAAATATCTTGTCGTCATTAAATAACTAATTGAGGTTGATATGCCGTAAAACAAACCAAACCAGCCATAAAAATCTTCTCGGCATTAAACAAAGGTTGATATGCCGCAAAACAAACCAAACCAAACCAAACCAAACCAGCAATAAAAATCTTGTCGACATTAAATAACCCATTGAGGTTGATATGCCGTAAAACGAACCAAACCAAACCAGCAATAAATATCTTGTCGTCATTAAATAACTAATTGAGGTTGATATGCCGTAAAACAAACCAAACCAGCCATAAAAATCTTCTCGGCATTAAATAACCCATTGAGGTTGATATGCCGTAAAACGAACCAAACCAAACCAGCAATAAATATCTTGTCGTCATTAAATAACTAATTGAGGTTGATATGCCGTAAAACAAACCAAACCAGCCATAAAAATCTTCTCGGCATTAAATAACCCATTGAGGTTGATATGCCGTAAAACAAACCAAACCAAACCAGCGATAAACATCTTCTCGGCATTAAATAACCCATTGAGGTTGATATGCCGTAAAACAAACCAAACCAAACCAGCAAAAAAAATCTTCTCGGCATTAAATAACCCATTGAGGTTGATATGCCGTAAAACAAACCAAACCAAACCAGCAATAAATATTCTTGTCGGCATTAAATAACCCATTGAGGTTGATATGCCGTAACAGAAACCAAACCAAACCTTCAATAGAAATCTTATCGCCATTAAATAACCCATGCCGTAAAACAAACCAAACAAAAGTAAGGTCGATTTTACTGCTTTTATGGAAGTTTAAAAGCTGTAAAATCGGCGTTGCTATTCGAACATTCCTTCGTGTCTCGATCGGTTAAGGCTCGTCAGGCTAAATGACGATTCCGTATAGGGTACAGGTTTGATCCCTGTCGGAGAATATTTTCTATGAAATAATGTTATATGAATGTTATTAATACTGTTTATTATAAAACAGAGCATTTACTTCAATATTTGTATCTATAAAAAGAATGTATAAACTTAAAATGTCTTAATATATACAGAGAGATAGATATGAAAAGGACTGAGATAGATAATCATTTTAACACGTTTTTGTTTAGAAATGTACCTGTAATATTTTGGAGAATATTTATTCTATAGTGCCCGAAGTATATTTTTCAACATTCCTAATTTTTGTTTGTTCATCGCTTCAAGTGCATCCTTTTAGATGAGTCTTGTATTTAGATCAATTCGCGCTCACATATTTTGGCGAATAACTGAGACCCTATGAAAATACCCAGCAGCTTTGTTTCGTTTGTTCAACATTCTGAAATATTTCGGTGAAAAAGCCACCTCTGGGAAAATTCGCCGTCTTGCTGGGCCGAAGAAAAGGTACAGGACAACAGAAGGAATGAGAATTTAATAAAAGAAGAAGAAAAAGTAAAAAAAAAAAAAAAAGAATGAGAGAAAAACGAATGAAATGCAATTAGGAAGGCAAAATTTTAAAAAAAAAATGAATGAAAGAGTAAAAAAGATAAAGATTGTCTGAAGAAGAACACAATGAAAAAAAAAGAATGAAGAAGACACGAATAGAAAGCAAACACAAAAATGACAGAAAACGGTTAAAAGAAAGAAAGAAAAATGAATGAAATAAAGAAAGAAGGAATAACAAAGGAAAGTAAGAAAGAAGAAAAAAGAATGAAAGGAAGAAATAAGGAAAACATGAATGAAAGAAAGAAGAAAAAATAAGTGAAAGGAAGAAGGAAGGAAAAAATAATGAAACGAAGAAGGAAGGAAAAATAAATGAAAGAAAGAAAAAAGGGAAAAATGAATGAAAGGAGGAAAGAAGGAAAAATAAATGAAAGAAAGAAAAAAGGGAAAAATGAATGAAAGTAATAAAGAAGGAAAATAAATGAAAGAAAGAAAAAAGGGAAAAATGAATAAAAGCAAGAAAGAAAGAAAAATAAATGAAAGAAAGAAAGAAAAAAGGGAAAAATGAATGAAAGGAGGAAAGAAGGAAAATAAATGAAAGAAAGAAAAAAGGGGAAAATGAATAAAAAGGAAAAAGAAAGGAAAAAAAATAAATGAAAGAAAAAAGAAAGAAAAAAGGGAAAATGAATAAAAGGAAGAAAAGGAGGAAAAATAAATGAAAAGAAAGAAAAAAAAAGGAAAAATGAATGAAAAGGAAGAAAGAAGGAAAAATAAATGAAAAAGAAAAAAAAAAGGGAAAAATGAATGAAAAAGGAAGAAAAGAAAAGAAAAAAAAAGGAAAAGGAAAAAAAAAAAAAAGAAAGAAAAAAGGAAAAAATGAATGAAAAGGAAGAAAGAAGGAAAAATAAATGAAAAAGAAAAAAAAAAGGGAAAAAAATGAAGAAGAAAAATAAATGAAAAAAGAAAAGGAAAAATAAATGAAAGGAGGAAAGAAAAAAATAAAGAAAAATGAATGAAAAAAGAAAAAGGAAGAAGAAGGAAAAATAAATGAAAGAAAGAAAAAAGGGAAAAATGAATGAAAGGAAGAAAGAAGGAAAAATAAATGAAAGAAAGAAAGAAGGGAAAAATGAATGAAAGGAGGAAAGAAGGAAAAATAAATGAAAGAAAGAAAGAAGGGAAAAATGAATGAAAGGAGGAAAGAAGGAAAAATAAATGAAAGAAAGAAAAAAGGGAAAAATGAATGAAAGGAAGAAAGAAGAAAAATAAATGAAAGAAAGAAAAAAGGGAAATATGAATAAAAGCAAAAAAGAAAGAAAAATAAATGAAAGAAAGGAAGAAAAAAGGGAAAAATGAATGAAAGGAAGAAAGAAGGAAAAATAAATGAAAGAAAGAAAAAAGGGAAAAATGAATGAACGTAAGAAAGAAGGAAAAATAAATGAAAGAAAGAAAAAAGGGAAAAATGAATAAAAGGAAGAGAGAAAATGAATAAAACAAAGAAGGAAAAATGAATGAAAGAATGAAAGAAAGAAGTAAAAATAAATAAAAGAATATAAGATCGTCATTAACCGAAAAAAATATAAAATATTGTAAGGAGAATGTATGACTGCAGAACATTGATAAAAAATAAAATATAAAAAAAGAAAACAAAACATGGATAAAAAAATAATCTAAGAAAGAAAAAAACGCTATGAAAAAGAGAAAAAACTTGAATGAATGAAAAACAATAACAGTATATTGATAAGAAAGAAAGAACATATCACATGACTATAAAATGTTGAAAGATAATTGAATGAACAGTGTAAGGGAAAAAACGATGAATAAATAAAAAAACAGGGTCTTCATAGGAACACATGAATGAAAAAATATGCTTGATCTCGACATTTAATATTGAAAGAAAGAACGAAAGAAAAGAATGGTATTGAAAAAGTTGAATGAAATATTTCATGAAGAAAGAAGATAGTAGGAATGAAAAATAGAAAGAAAAAGAAAAGAATAATCCAAAAAGGAAAATAATATTTTTAAATGAAGGAAACTGAGTGAAAAGACCGAGAAAAAAATGCAGTTATATGGTCGATAAAAATATTCACCATTTTGATCAAGACACAATCATTATATAATGTAAGTACGTCATATATCCTAATAGGTGTTTGGTTCTCACTGGGTGCTCCATACTTACGGCCTTGTGCCACATCTAAACTAGGCCTAGATAATCAACATAGTATATATACAAACAAAAAATAAAAATCTCAACCGAAAAAAATTGAAATAGAGAAGAAAATAAAAACGTCTATATATATATATATATATATATATATATATATATATATATATATATATATATATATATATATATATATAATATAACTCTCTTTTCCCGAGAACAACCGTCTACAAGAGCGGATAGCCTTCCCTGTGGTTTTTCAAAACTCTGTTCAACTGTGGGTTACACTAAATCTATATTGGCCACATAAAGTTGCACAGGGTGCCATGGGTAAATCGTCGCCATTTTATATTTTTGATTTCACGCATGCGCGTTTTTTGTTTTTGATTTTGTCGACTGTACAGTATAGTAGGGTCAGTTGCGTACCGTTTGTTAGAAAAAAGAGCACCATGATGCAATACACTCCAACAGACATTTGAAAATAGCATGATGTGCTGCTTCCTGACGGAACCTCCAATACGGTCATTTCAGATTCTCTGGGTGTCAATTTGAGGACAGTGCAGAGGATTCTGAAAGAGTTGCATGAGTCTAATGGCGATTACGAAGATACGGCAGCTCGGAAAACTCACTCCAATCGTCGTGATAAGAAAATTACTTCTATATTTGTTGGTGAGGTCCTCAAACTCATCACGAAGGCCTAAATCTAGAGACAAAAGAGGATAGTGTTGCCCTAGTTGAAAAGAGTGGGTGTTGAAACCTATGTCTGGCAACAGGGCTCTGAACCCTGCCACACCAGCAAGAGTACTCAGGAATGGCTGTCAAACAAATTAAATGACCACACCACTCTTACTTCTGGTCACCTAACTCCCTAGACTGCGACCCCCTTTATCAGTATGTGTGGGACAAAGCTGAACGAGAGATCAGCACATTAAAGATGAACTGAAGGTAAGGATTATGGCCGCATTCACCAACTTAAATAATGAGACTCTCTAAAAGAGTTGCAAGAGATTCCGAAGTCGTCTGGAGGACGTGCTTGAAGCTAATGGCGATTTTATTGAATAAATTTACACTTTAGTATTTCAATATATTTTATGTGTAATTTTGGTAAATATATCTTAAAATGAGATCATTATTTTCACTTTTGCGTCATTTAAAAGAAAAAAATTTATCCACCGAACCATGTATATTTGTACATTCATTTAAACTTGTCTGCCTATTTAATGCGTGTTGTGTTCGTAACGAAAAAGAAAGCCATTCACTTGAAAAGATGATAGTAGAGATAAAAAGCAATACTTTTCTATACATTAATACTTCATTTTTTTTCTAGTCTCCATCCGATTCAGTTTTTGCTTTCACTCGCTTTTTCTTTAGGTTTACCTTTAACTTTCTTACTAAACTTACCTTCCTTCATTCTATCCGCCTTTCTCCTCTTTCATGCATTCTCGAATTCTTTTGATTGGAAACGAAAGGATAGGAAGGTGATCGCTCGATTTTATGCGTGTGTATGTAATTCAGTCGGAGTGTACAGATACTTCGCTCTGATCCGAAGCAAAAGTGCCGCGAAATGAAACGTTGACCCGAGGCAAAGCGCATAGATATTCGTAACCCGAGTCAGTAGTGCCGGTCGATATGTGCGGAACTCCTTCATTTTTTATGGGTAATATGCGAGTTTAAATATCTGGGAGGAGAGCAGGAAACAGTCTTAAAAAACTCATGCCAAATCGACGAAAAATATAAACGGGAAAAAGAAGAAATGAAACGTAAGAAAGAAAGAAAGAAAGAAAGAAAGAAAGAAACAAGGACAGAAAGAAAGAAACAATAAACAAAAAGAAAGAAAGAAAGAAGAAAAGGAAATGAAAGAAAGAAAGAAAGAAAGAAGAAAAGGAAATGTAAGAAAGAAAGAAGAAAAGGAAATGAAAGAAAGAAAGAAAGAAGAAAAGGAAATGAAAGAAAGAAAGAAAGAAAAAAAGAAAGAAAGAAGAAAAGAAAAGGAAAGAAAGAAAGAAAGAAAGAAAGAAAGAAAGAAAGAAGAAAAGGAAATGAAAGAAAGAAAGAAAGAAAGAAAGAAAGAAAGAAAGAAGAAAAGGAAATGAAAGAAAGAAAGAAGGGAAGGAAAGGAACTAGGACAGAAAGTAAGGAAAGAAAGAAACAACAGAAAGAAGAAAAAGAAAGAAAGAAAGAAAGAAAGAAATTGAAAAGAAAGAAAGAAAGAAAGGAAAAAAGGGAAGGGAGGAAAGGTAGAACGAAAGAAACAAGCCAAAGAAAGAAAGAAAGAAACAAAAGAAAGAAAGAAAGAAAGAAAGAAAGAAAGAAAGAAAGAAAAGAAAGAAAGAAGAGAAGGGAAGGAAGGAAAGGTAAAAAGAAACAAACAAACAAGCAAAAGAAAGAAAGAAAGAAAGAAAGAAAGAAAGAAAGAAAGAAAGAAAGAGAAGAAAATAAAGAAAGAAATGTAAAACCAAAAATAAAAGACGCAGGCGACGAGCGAGGAACTTTATGGAGTTTAAGCCACTCAGTAATTTGACCTTTCTGTTTAGTTGTTCTTGATGAAATCAAGATGGGGAATATCCCGTTTACCGAACTGACTATATTGAATTCTGCTCTCGGTAAAAAATAAATAAATACTTACTTCATTTTTATGGTTGTTTTACCTTCTTTTCCCCGCTAGTGGGATAAAGTCAGGCGATGATGGAATTTCTAGCATAGCAAGGCACGTGGATTCTTAAAAGACTTGCGAGGTTACAAAAACACACTAGTAAACGATCCTTGGACCGAGAGACGGGGGCCGATCAGCGAACCCCTGACATTTAAGAGGACTAACTATGTAGAAAGGGCTTTTACGAGCAAGGGATGGGTTTCAAGTGAAGCAAAAGCCCTGAGGTCGAAAGGATATGGAAATACCTCGGGTGAAGTGGCACTCGAACGGGGATAATTTAGCTTGGGTGGAGTACAATACACCCAATAACTCCTGTTGTTAACTGCTGAAGAATGCAGACTTCTCTGTTAGGGTGCTTCTCGATTTATTTTTGTAGAAAAGCTTTTTATTTCGAGTGGGTGCTCGTTCGCTTAGGTGGAAACACGAGGAAAAAAATGAGTGCATATTATACATTTGTATTGGGGTCTAAGGAAGATGGATAAATTCGCAAGCAATTGACTTATTGTTAAATACCTGAATCATTTTCACTACGCATACACACTTACACACACCGTATATAAGGCAATTAGAAAGCTTGTCTCGCTAGATCAATTAATAGTGTGTAGTGAGATCGATCCTCACTGGGTGCCCCATACTTTCGGCCTTGTGACACATCTTTGCTTAGAACATAATTCTTGGGAACCTCGGCGTGGTGTAATGGTTAGCAAGCTTGTCACGCTAGAACAATTACGACTGATCAGTGAGTTCGATTCTCACTGGGTGCCCAAAACTTTCAGCAATGTGTCACATCTAAGCTACGCTTAAAATTTTACAGCACATCTCGAGGCGGTGTAATTCTTCTAGCAAGCTTGTCTCGCTAGAATAATTACGACTGAGTGTTGAGTTCGATACTCGCTGGGTGTCCCATACTTACGGCCTTGTGCCACGTCTAAGCTTTGTTTAGAAAATCATTCATGGGTACCCCGGCGTGCTTAGACCAGCTCTGACCAGCTTCAACAAGCTAAGACCAGCGGCCCGAGTGAAGACACTTGGGTCCCCACGTTGAAAAAATGATCTTGTGTCACAACCTGACTCAGCGGGGGGGGGTCAAGTAAATCTCTCTACACTTACCGTACAGATAGATAGATAGATATACTGTGTATTAAAGCAGCAATCTTTTGTTTATACATGTGTAATTAAAGAAGACAGACAAGGTACTGGGATTAAGATTTTTATTTAATTTTTCTGGTGTTCGAAAAAGTGTTTTCTTTTCTGGACACAGAGTTTATAGAAACTGCCCAAATGTTCTGTAATTACGAGTGCTGTCGGCTCTACTTTTGGCCACTGTCAATGGTGTATAGTTTGTGTTTGTGTGTATGTATCTAGTGTTATATGGATGTTTTATTTCCCCAATACTGTCAGCACATTGTGGCCGTTTTCGTAGTTAATATGATTGAGTGTTGGCTTTTTTTTCTTTTTTATTATTAAGGCTTATTTTTAAACTATTTTTCTATAATTAAATTGAACCTTTTAGCTTCTGTTTTTGAAACATGAGAACTCTTATGTAGCGATGGAATCCTATTTTTCAAAAATAATTATAACATATATATATATATATATAGTGAGAGAGAGAGATATATCATATTTATATATATATATGTAATATATATCCTCTCTCTATATATATAATATATATATCCTCTCTCTCTCTTTTTCTCTCTCTCTCTATATATATATATATATATATATATATATATATATAGAGAGAGAGAGAGAGAGATGATGATGATGATGATGATGATAATGGTGATGAACATAAATAACCAGATTGTAATTAGAACTCGACTCTCTGATTAACCATTCCGTATCATTAGACATTACACCAGCAGCCCATCCTCATCTGGATGAAATGTTATCAATGCTCCAATTATCATTATTGTAACTCCTTAAAGGTGACTTTAA